TCTGTAGATAATATTCAGGCTGAGAGGTAAGGACTAATAACCACTTACTTGTGGATTCTGTAGATAATATTCAGGCTGAGAGGTAAGGACTAATAACCACTTACTTGAGGATTCTGAAGATAATATTCAGGCTGAGAGGTAAGGACTAATAACCACTTACTTGGGGATTCTGTAGATAATATTCAGGCTGATCTTCTTCCAATATAACACTGAACAAACAGATAATAATTTTGTTGTATGTTTTGTCTTTCCCAGATACCAATGAATCACAAGGAAATGAGAACAGACAACAAAACGAACAAACACCAGAAGCGACTTCGCCAGATTTGACTAATTTTATGCCGCCAAATATTGTAAGTAATGAACAAATTTGGGGTTCATCGGTACTTTGGAAACTTGCGTGGTGTGAAATTTGACTAATTTTGTATGCGTAAGAAGGTTCATTTAACCTCGTAAGTGTTTGATAGCTCATCTGAACGGCACAAAGCAGGGAAACCAGTGAATATATAAATTGCTTCAGTGAGAAATCAACCCGCTTTCTTGCACAGAAACCACTATACCTCAAAACTTGTCTTCTGTCAACTCTTTTTCAGTTCAAATACAGTTATACAAAAATCGGTAATGTTGAGAAAAGATCAAAATATTTAATTATTCGCTGAATTTACTCAGTGTTTACCATGTTCATTTTATGTCCTTGTTTTTTCGACTTTAGTTGTTTTCACCGGCTCTTCAACCGACGTTCTACAGCAGCTTGCGTAGAGCCCATAACAATCCATGATACAGTGGTGCGCATCTTAGAAACATAGAACATTCTGTGACGTAGCTCTGCGAGAATAGGATATGAATTGATACGTAACATTTTGTCTGCAATGTATGCAATGAAGCTTGCGGGAGATCTTATTAATCAAAGGGTTTTTGTTCAAGCAATAAATTTTCTTGTGATTCACAGCATGTCACAAAAGTCACTGCAAAGTAACGTAGTTAGGGTTGTGATTTTGTGGCGAAAAAAGGGAATTGGTGGTAAAAAGCTAACTAGCTGACTTTTTTTTATCAATTTAGGAGACTCCAGATCCCAATGACAGTCAAGTGTAACCATGGCAACAATAGTGACATCACTGCAGCTGCTTCATTATTCTGAAGAAATTCAGTGGTTGAAGAAATTATACTTATGACATGACATTTACCTTGTTAGTTTCAGACAGGTTAATATGGTTGGTGATTTATTAATATACAAATGTACATATTTCCTAGTTAACCTCTCAAGAAATTTATAATAACGTATAAACATATCAATAGGTACTGTTGGTAACCCAATTTTTAAAAGCCAAGCATTCATGGTGCTGCTGTCAGAGTTCTGTTTTCATGAGAGCAAAAGAAAATAATTTGTAGAAATTATTAATTAAAAGTCCATGACATTGAGTTTTAAATTGCACCAGTACAGTTGGTCACATGCATGAGTATGTTGATCACATGCATAATGTTAGTCACATGTACTGGTATACTGGTCACATGGACAGTTCTTGGGCGTAATAAAGAGCCATTTTCAAACGCCATAGGCGTTTTAACAAAATGCCGAAGGCATTTCAAGTGTGGGTTGCAAGGCCCGAGAGACTATTACAGCTTGCAAGACATGCATGCAGAGACAAATTTGAATAAGGGTGGTACTAATTGACCTCTCTAGTCATTCACTCACTTCCGCTGTCCACAATGTCTGGAATTTTGTCATTTTATCTTGTGCAGATCAAAACACCAACCAAAATCGTCAGCAGAATAAATAATTCACCACGGCCCAAAAAATTGATGTGCATTATGTGTTTCTACTTCCTGTTTGTGGTGACCCATTTCGCTCATGATTGGTTGATCGATGTATGACGTAGTTTGAGTGAAAAGTCTCAGCAGGAAGGTCACCAGGCAATTTCCACATTATGTCGCATGAGGGTGTTACATGATATGACAGTCTCAAAGGCGTTTGAAAATAAGTGACTCTTTACTAGGCCCAAGCACTGTCGACAGTCTCGTCTAATGCATCAGTATGTTGATCACATGTACTGGTATACTGGTCACATGCATCAGTATGTTGGTCACATGTACTGGTTTGCTGGTCACATGCATGAGTATGTTGGTCACATGCATCAGTATAATGATCACATGTACTGGTTTGCTGGTCACATGCATCAGTATATTGATCACATGTACAGGTTTGCTGGTCACATGCATCAGTATGTTAATCACATGCATGAGTATGTTGGTCACAAGTACTGTTATGTTGGTCACATGTTTGTTTGTTTTTACTTTTTTAAAATGTAATTACTTGAAAGCATAAATTCAGTACTATGTTTACTGTCAAATACTTTATTTCCACTTTGCTATTTTCACTAAAAGGGTGATGCACTGAAAATTATTTACATTCATCTCGTCAAAATATCAGTGAAAATTAATTTCATACAAAACAGCCCGAAAGCCTTTTTACCGAAAATTAATTCCAGCTAAAATAAAGTATTTACAGTACTCTATCTATGTTTAGAACTGTGAATTACTATATATTGATACTAATCTCATTGGAGAGTCTGTGAGATTTCATTGAGAACTTCATTATATAACCAGTTCACCATGCCCTTTAAAATATCCACCCTTGTTTTCATATTTATTTGTGATGCTTTGCAGTATTTGGAATGGTACCATTTCCCAAGGGTTAGCTTTTGTTTTGAGGGGTAATGGTTGTACGGCAAAAAAAATGCCCAGATGTCTGCCGCTGTGAAGTTCAGAAAATTGTTGTGACAGGAATTTGTTAGTCACGTCCATTTTTAATTATCTAGTTGAAGCTAGAAGTGAGCCCATTATATCACATTCAGTAATATGTATTAATAGTATGTTTTAGGGGTTGACCATTAGAAAGAATAGGGGTGGAATTTGGAAGAAAAAAATAACCTACACAGAGACAATTTTGAAAAGTTAAAGTAGGAGAAAGCAAACAAAAAAATTAAAGCAACATTGTAAAAAAAATTATAATTTGCACTGTAGTTCCACCCTCCCCTTAGTTTTTTATGGTCAACCCCTTAGCTGCAATATTTCTATTGAGCTCTGGGAACATGGCACTTTTAGAAGATTATAATTATTGATTGTATACAATTATGTGATGATTTATATATATACCAGTATATGTGAAATTAGGAGATATCCATAAATTGTTTATGAAACATCAGGATTATTTTTCTTGGTTTTTGTGGAATATATTACTTACAAATTTTGTAACAAGTTTACAAACTGCGTGAAACAAATTTTACATATATTTTATGAAAATTGAGAAATTCGCTATCTGTGAAAAATTGTCTAGGCTCCTATGACTTCAGTGAAATTTTATCTTCATGAATGCCTTAAAATTATCAAATCCTGAAAGTTTCTAGCAGCAAAAATTAGACTGTTTACAATATATTTGCATCACTTGCTGAAAGTGTCCATGGATAGCCATTATGGACAGCAGATGATTTGTTACTAAGCTTGCATTACAAATCCAGTGTTTTTTATCTCTATGTACTGTATTATTTGTTACATATATATTTATTTATTCAGAAAGCATGTTTTATTTACTCTCATCTTAGACATAGACTTGAAAGATTCATACAATTTGTGTGATCTTCAGTATAGTAATCAGAATTATTGAAATTGAGGCTCTGAATAAAACACCTACTCATGATTGATGGTGATACAAATCTAAAATGAAAAAAAAATGAGTGTGGTGGTTTATCATCTCATCGGTGGTATAATTGCCCATATGGTGATTTATCAATCCATATGGTGGTATAACTGCCCATATGGTGATGTATCAATCCATATGGTGGTATAACTGCCTGTATGCTGATGTATCAATCCACATGGTGGTGTAATTGCCCATAAGGTGATGTATCAATCCATATGGTGGTATAACTGCCCATATGGTAATGTATCAATCCATATGGTGGTATAACTACCCATATGGTGA